AGCCCAGAATATATCCACAACACCGAATATAAATTCAGTCTAGAATATATCCACAACACCGAATATAAATTCAGCCTAGAATATATCCACAACACCGAATATAAATTCAGCTTAGAATATATCCACAATCCCGAATATAAATTCAGCCCAGAATATATCTACAACCCCGAATATAAATTCAGCCCAGAATATATCCTCAAACCCCGAATATAAATTCAGCCCAGAATATATCCTCAAACCCCGAATATAAATTCAGCCCAGAATATATCCTCAAACCCCGAATATAAATTCAGCCTAGAATATATCCACAACTCCGAATATAAATTCAGCCTAGAATATATCCACAACTCCGAATATAAATTCAGCCCAGAATATATCCACAACCAGGAATATAAATTCAGCCCAGAATATATCCACAACACCGAATATAAATTCAGCCTAGAATATATCCATAACCCGAATATAAATTCAGACCAGAATATATCTACAAAATTTAATATAAATTCAGCCCAGAATATATCCACAACACCGAATATAAACTCAGCCCCGAATTTATACTCAGTCTTGAATACAGCCAAATTCAATCATGAAATTTGAATATAGGGAAATAATAAAGAACTCTGCAGAAATAAGCATTTATTTTGAAGACATGACTTTGTATATTTAAGTCTGCCTCTGCGAAAACTGCTTGATGCGTTTTGGTATTTTTTGGAATCCTCGGCCTAATATGTGATAAATATAATCTCATTAGCGTTCTCAAAAAAGATTAGCGGTACTGTTTTCCTTTAAAGAGATTTGAAGAATCTGCTATTTATTTTATAATGGCTGCTTTAAATCCCTTGAGGAAGATAAAAAGATTATCCATTCCTTAAAGATTAATGAATTTAGCATCTAGTTTAAAATATCAAATAACAAAGACTTGATGGAAGCTACGTGCTTTGGCTTTTTTTTTATAAATATAGATGTTTTTAAATATAAACTTGCTACGCATGACGTGTGTAACTGAGAGTCACTATAACGTGTTGATTCCTGTATCCACACTTTTTATATCTACATATATATGTATACACATGGCGCCTCTATCTTAAAAAAAGATTTTTTTAAGTATAAAAAATAATTCAATATCTGTCTATATCTCTGAAATGAGGTATCATGATTACTTGCATTATTTACATTATTCAGTTATCCTCATCTTCATTGCCATATTCATAACGTTTCGGCTGTTGTACACCCTGGCCTTCTTCAGGTGATTGGAATTTCGAACCGAACCCTTACCGTTTACCGGAGTGGATTGTTCTAGTTCTACGTGTCATGCCTCTTCCGGATGTCTCGGTCGTTTCTTCAACTCTCCAAGATTTGTTTCACCACAGACGTGGACTGGTATTGAACTCACATGTCTTTGCGTCTAGTCACTAGATCTAACCAACGTCTTTATCCACTGTCTTATGTGTCCTTGAAGAAATAATTCATAAATTAATTTTCTATTAAGCTGGGGCGCAACTTCCTACCTTTCAGAGCGCAAAACTACTCCCGGGCGCACCGGTTGAGAAATTCGCATAAATACTAGATTAAGCAAAACTATTTGAAATCTAATTTCCGTAACGATACTCTCTATTCGACGTTGGCGATCATGACTCTCCACAACTTCCCGTAGCACTTCGTAAATTTTATCTTTTTGCTATCTCTCCTAAAAGGACACATGGCACAGTGGATAAAGGCGTTGGTTAGATCCAGTGACAGGACCCAAAAGAGTGTGAGTTCAATACCCGGTTAAGGCAGTGGAGAACTTTCAGAGGGACATTAACAGGAGATAACTGAAAACTGACATCCATCAAGCATGGCACGTGGAACTAGAACAGTCTACCCCGGTGAGCGAAATAAAGGGTTCAGTTCGAAATTCCAACCACCTGAAGAAGGCCGGAGCGTACAACGGCCGAAACGTTGTGATAAATATGGCGACAAAGATGAGGACAATAGTCCGAATAATGTAAATAATGTACATAATACCTCATCTCGGAAATATAGACAGATACTGAAAGGCCGAAACGTTATAATAAATATGGCGACAAAGATGAGAACAATAGCCCGAATAATGTAAATAGTGTACATAATACCTCATCTCAGAAATACAGAGTCCTAAAACTACTACTTATACTGCACAGGGAGACAATATTACTGCCGTGGGAAAGTGATTGAAACTGAGGCACCAAATCAGAACCAATATTATTGTTGATTTTTATTTGGATTTTATCAAGGAACTCGAAATACAGAGCGGGAGCACACCATCATATGTGGTAGCGATATTCTAAGCAGGGTAGACTTATAGATATGTACGATTCTGGAGAGAAAAAAAGGTCTAGGATGACACAGGGAACGAACTTTCTTAGCAGCTGGCCTAGCAATGGATTCAATATAGACTTTCCACTTCGTGGCCAAGGGACGTTAGCCCGATAAGTCTCATAGCAGTAATATTCAATGCATGGGCAAATATCAGATTTATAAAAGGGCAAGATAGAATCTGGCGAGAGAAATATCCCTGTCATGACAGAGTGAACCAAATTAATTGCTTTATTGCTATATATGTCGGCACATAAAACACCACACCTATTTATAATTTATATTAATATTATAGTGGTTAATGCAATACGAAACTTGTAGTAGAGGGTTTCCGGATAAAGGTTAATTTATCAGCTAGTCCCCGCTTCGCATAAAAGAGCAGATAAATAATATTTTAGCCATTTTGGGAGAAAAATGGCGTTCATATATGACAATCAAACACTGTCTTCGGGTATTATGACGAATAATTGGCATTCCTTGGACTTCGTGGATTATCCACAGTAATTGTCGTTCCTTGAACTTCGTGGATTATCCACAGTAATTGTCGTTCCTTGGACTTCGTGGATTATCCACAGTAATTGTCGTTCCTTGGACTTCGTGGATTATCCACAGTAATTGTCGTTCCTTGGACTTCGTGGATTATCCACAGTAATTGTCGTTCCTTGGACTTCGTGGATTATCCACAGTAATTGTTATTCTTTGTCTTCGTGGATTATCTAGAGTCATTGTCATTTCTTGTCTATATGGATTACTCCAAGAATTTGGAATTGTCACTGATCCTGGTTTTTCTCGAGTGTATGTTTTACTTTTATAGCGGATTATCCTGAGTGCTTATCTTCCGATTATCTTTCATGGATTATCTCGTGTATTTCTCTTCCACTTTATGGATTATGACGATTATTTCCCTTCTCTTTTTCAATATTCAATTTAATTGTAGATTTTAGAATGCTATAGAATATGCTTTGATGACTGAAGTAGGCTGTTGTAAAACTTCTACAAGATAATTGGATAAAATACACAATTGGCGCAAATTTCATAGAAAGCCAAAGGAAAATGTTTCAAGGCTGCTATAGTAACATGGGGGAGGGGGTTACTCCCAACATTTTATTTTTTAAGTACTCTTAATTCCTAGTTTGCTTTTGTTCCCTCCCACTACTTTCCTGATTCTGTGAGCACGGGGTGGGGCGTATTTGTAGCTCAGTTGTCGTGAGAGGCAGACATTGCTTCGTCTTCTTCAGAAGGTCCTTTTATTTCAACTGACTAACAAAAGGTAAGTGTTCATGATTTATATTATTTTAATATATATATATATATATATATATATTAGTGAATATGCATAATATCCAAAGACAATAGCACGGCTCGGAGTTTCATGCAAATCTGCAATCTTCAGGTTTTCATTAAATTCCTAGTCTTGCTGTCGATGTTATATATTATGTATATACACTAATATATATATATATATATATATATATATAATATACGGAGTGACACACACATATGTGTGTGCGAATTAGACGCATGCAGACACACACAGATCCATATCTATATTCATTTCAATATATCACTTCCGTTAAGTTAACCGTTTAAATAGGTCAAAGTCTGGTTCCTCCTCCCCCAATACTAAGTAAGATTGAAAGAAATATTAAAATAAACCCTCTCTAAACTCTACCATGTCTCTCACACCACTCCTCATTACCCTCTCTATTAAATTACATAAACTTAATACTACCCGTCAAAAGTGTGAATTTCTATTTCATCTTTCGTTTCATTTTTGGAAGTGTTATCTGATGATCTAGGGCTCTGGTGAAATAAATTATTATAATGGAACCTTAAAGCGGTCTGTTTTTTCTTTAAAATACACACACACACATATATATATATATATATATATATATATATATATATATATATATATATATAGCATTACTCGGAGTTTCATGAAAACCTGAAGCTTGCAGATTTGAATGAAACTCCAAGTCGTGCTATCGACGTTGGGTATTATGTGTATTCACTAATATGTACTTAACAGCTCAGTGTTCTAACATTGGGCACTGTATTTAATACAATTAAGATAGGTAGGTATATAACTTTATCAGTGCTTTAATTATGAGTTTAGCGAATGTAATATATTTCTATATGGCGGATATTTTTTTATGAATAAAATATTTCTCTATTATTACATTAGTGTGTTTCATCTGCAATTTATAACGTATGTTTAAGGCAACAAATTCATCATAATTTTCATTTCAATGTATAATTATATCTTCAAGTTTTGATTTGATGTATACTGTAATGGAGATTGCCTCTTGTGTTATTTTTTTCTTCAACAGTAAGATAATATTTTACATAATTGCAACACTATAAGCATTTTTGTATTGGGGTGTGTAATCACCCCAGGGGACTATCCATTTTCGAAAATCTGAGGGGAGTAGCACAGGGTCAAAGACGAAATAACAATGCTATTTGTTTTTTTTTTTATTAATAAAATATGACATTTAATAATCCTTCAGCTGTAAAATGGTTTTCATAAAAAGGGAAGGCAACTGCTTTAATGGTTAAATAATGAGGCCATTAATTTATACGATTTTACTCTTGGCAAAGGGTTTTTTTTATTCGATAGGACAGGGTCTGAACGGTGAAGAGAAAAAAAAAACTGTTACCTTTCATTTCACGGTCAGGTTTCATATCACAGTTAAGAGATTTGTTGAACGATGTGGTGGCATGAATACTTTTGCCTGTTTCTTCATCAACGCACCAACATATATTATTGTAGCACTGAGTCTTTTTGTATTTGCCAGTAGCTGTACACTCCGGCGAGAATGTTTTCCCGTTTGGATCTTCCTGGTTAATTTTAATGGCTGCCGCCCTTTCTTTCAGACAACTTCGATGATCTAAACGAAAAGAAGAAAGAAAAAAATGTCATTTTTTTTTTATACAATTTTTTTTTCTTTTTACATTGCCGAGGGAGTGAAGTTAGTTAAAATAATAGCGGTGTCAATGGAAAAAAAAATCCTTTTGACACTTTTTTTTTTTTTGAGGACACGTTTGTCCAAGTTTGCCAAACATTCCCCGAAGAAGAACATTTGCATCAAGATATGTCACGGAACACATGAACTGACAAGGTATACATGCAGGTAGCTACAATATTTCAAAGAAAATTTTTGCCAATAAAATTATGATTACCTTCAGTAACAGACGACGGAAAACCTCCAAGAAAAAAAAAAAGTTTTTGTCCTTCGTGAACGAGTTGCGGCAATAGGATAACGACGCTAGTTGAAAAATATAAAATACCTGTCAAAAGGCTAATGTACCTTCTTGCGAAGTCAACGACCATCTAGCCCACGCGTTTCAAGGATAGGAGGAGGTCTTTAGCTTTGGTTGGCAACCCTTTTAGAGATAATGTCTCGATAAAGCTACTGGTTGGTAACCTTAAAACCTAATTTATTAGTGAAGTTTATTATTATTATTATTATTAGAGAAAGCAGTACATCAATAAAGTGATGCTGGGGTACCAAAGAGCAATACACTCATCATGACACCCACGTGTGATAAGGGTATACCAGTCATTATTGAGAGAGAGAGAGAGAGAGAGAGATCTACACACTGTAAATGTGACGCCGACTTACAAATGTACGGAACCCAATGTAGTCACCATGACATACCCTGTTTGATAATGGTGTACAGTCATCATTGTGTAAGAGATTGCAAACCCTAATATGACGCTGGGGTATAAATATACACAGAACAATACACCCAACATGATACCCCATGGATTATTGAGTGGGAGACCAAAAATCCTAAAAGTGATCCCGAGATACAAATATAGAAAGCCCAATATGCTCATTGTTAAACCTAGTTTGATTTAAAGGAAAAGAAGAAATAAGTAGAAAAAAAATCCACAGAAAACCTCCAAGGGAATAACAGCACTGGTTGAAAATGTAAAACTTGAAAAACTTGAATCTTAGGACAGTCAAAAGGACAGTTTTTTTTTTTTCGATTGACATCGCTATTATTTTAACTAGCGTCACTCCTCTGTAATATTCATTGTTTTAAAAAAAAAAGTGGCGATTAAATTTTTTTACAAAAACTTATGACGAAAGTGAATTGAGCATTTACAACACAAATATTAAACACAATTTATTAGTTTGTTTATTTACTAGAATTTTATATTTATAATAAAAGCTAATACAATTGTTTTAAAACTAATGAAATGCAATATTTATCATTTACCTATGAATAAATAAAAAACGCAATGTTTTATTCATAAATTTATAAACATTTACTAAATTGTTCAAATATATGAGTCAACTACAATGAAATCCTTATTATTTATCATTTTATAAAGTTCAAATTGTTTGGCAATTAGTCGGCCTTGTGCCAAACATCCCAATAAGCAATATAATAAATAGGGTTTATTATTTTTCAAAAACAAAGAAAATGGATAAATTCACTCTCATGTTTAGGTTTCATTACAATTCTAATCATCGCTTTTTAAAACAATAAATATTGCCGAGGGAGTGAAATTAGTTAAAATAATAGCGGTGTCAATAAAAAAAAACCGTCTTTTAGACACACCGTTTTTTTTTGTTTTTTTTTTTCGGATACGTTTGTCCAAGTTTGCCAAAATTTCCTAGGAGAAGAATATTTGCATCAAGATTTGTCACGAAACACATGAACTGAAAAAGGTATTCCTGCAGATAACTAGAATATTTCGAAGAAAATTTTTCCAATAAAATTATGATTTCCTTCAGTAACAGACGACGGAAAATGTAATCCAGAAATACGACGCGGAATTAGAATCGCGAAAGATGCTTTCCAAAAGCTAAGCAAAGTATTAAGAAACAGAAAAAAAATGTTACAAGCAAAAAAAAAAAAAAAAGCGTGCGATGTTAAGTACCTAGTCTTTCTGCTTATAATATGGGTTTTTCTCCTATAAAATATCTCCCAAAACCTTCCCGCGAAGATCGGTGACGGGAGCTACAAGTTCGAGGGGTGACGTGAGTGTCAACTGCCCAATTACATCTGATTATGTGCCATTCAAAGTAAAACATGCCAAGTGTTTTAAAATCTCATATCCGTTAGTTCCCTTTCTTTCATCATACGGTCAGTTTTAGACCCATTGGACTGAAAAAGGTGTTATCGAGGCCATTTGCAGTAGTGTGCAGTAATATGAATCTATTTTCGGGTGTATGATGAAATTTGTTTGGCCTTGAAAATATTGCGTCACCCGTGATTGCATCAGATTTCTACACCGCTATTGTCTAAACTGTCGATTAGTTGTCCTATGGCCATTGTCTGCGATAGGCGTTGCTCCAAGGAGCGTACGAAAATTGTAATGCTGCATGAACATACTGGCAAGCCTTATCATTGAGCAAATCAAAGTACTATAAAATGGCCCAGAAACTCTCCTGATTTAAATCCAATCGAGAATCTGGACAATTTCATCTCTGATGAAGAAGAAACTTGAGGTAACGCATGCGTAGTTCTATAGAAGTATGCTGAGAGCACGATGGGTGGAACTTTTTTGCAACGACAATGTTTTGAGTAGATTGAAAATAAAAAGGAAACGTGTTTAGTTAACATTTCTGGTACACAAGGAAGAAAGGGGGCTTGGAAAACTTGACACTCACAGGAAATACTGAAAAGCGAGTAGCATCTGTCTATATTTCTGCGATGAGGTATTGTAACTATTTACATTGTTCAGACTGTTGTCCTCATTTTTATTGCCATATTCACGACGTTTCGGCCGTTGTACGCGCCAGTTTTCTTCAGGATCTATCTATATTTCTGAGATCAGTTATTGTAACTATTTACACTATTTACATCGTTCGGACCGTTGTCCTCATTTTTATTTTCAGATTGACGACGTTTCGGCCGTGGTACGCTCCGGTCTTCTTCAGTATCTGCCTATATTTCGAACCGGTCTGAAAATCTGATATATATCACCTGAAGAAGGCCGGAGCGTACAACAGCCGAAACGTCGTGAATATAACAATGAAGATGAGGACAACAACCCGAACAAGGTAAATAGTTTAAATAGCGAGTAACATGAATAACAAGCTTGCGGAAATGGATGGCAGAAGAGAAACTAAGAGGGATTATAAGGAGACAAGCATTGCTTGAACTACAAGGGATAGGAAGTTGTGGAGGATCATGGCCAAAATGCAAAACAGATTTTTACAGTATTAATGATCGCATGAAACTGAAGAACTAATAAGGACTCAGAGAGAAGTCTTTGAAAACTATCAAACGGACTAACCCAAGGTAGACGGGTTTGGTTAAAGAGCAAGGAGAGTTCTTTGTTAAAGCAATGTTTTTTGTTTATTTCTAAATATAAAATTATGGCAAAACGAACACTCGCGTGAAGACGCAACACTTTAGAAAACTAACATGACGCGTTATGACGCGATATTTAAAAAACAATGTAAGTGACATCGCACAAAAAATATTTGATAATATTTTACGAAAGTCGAAATTGCTCAGATATCGGACAATTTATATCAAAGCTTTCACCAGCAAACAGAAAAAGATGGTCCGTAATGCAAAAGAAACAGACACAAAAAACAATTAAAGAATGACTAGTTCGTCTTTAGCAAAGTTTGTATGAATGAAAAACGGTGCCATATATATATATGTGTGTGTGTGTGTGTGTGTGTGTGTGTGTGTGTGTGTGTAAAATCATGTAAGTAAATGTAATAAATTCAACTGGAATTCGAACTCGGCTCTCCGATTCCTCAATCCTAGCCCCTATCCATTACTCCACCGTGCCTCCTCAACCCTTGGTAAAGGGAGGGATCATCTTCTTCTTTCCTCCTCCCAGCTATGGGTAAAGACAGACTGGGTTCTATAGCCGTGGATGGCAACTAGTCTAGAAGGACAACTCAGAATCCAAAACCTGCGGAGGGTTACTTGGAGACGTTGTGGCACAGTAAGTCTTTTTGTTCGGCTCTTTAAAAAGTATGGTTGGCTCTGCATAAAACGTCCACCACTATAATGTGCACGTTGCCTGGCTATCGGTTCCTAGGAATTGAGGTGCCTGACCCTCAGACGTCGTAAATGGGTCCCCGGTAGACGCGGGTAAACAACAGGAGAGTCCACGATATATATATATATATATTTATTAAAAGACATTTTTATGTTTAACGTTGTTTTTTTTATAGATACAAGGATTTAAATAACATTTCTATGAAAATTTCTCGGACATTCAGGCCGGTAAATGTTATTTAATACTGTTTATTATAAACAGAGCATTTACTTAAATACTTGTATCTATAAAAAAAAGAACGTTAAACATAAAAATGTCTTTAATAAATAAATTGTCGGACTTTGTCCATTTCTTAATATATATATATATATATATGTCACCCACAGACAGTCTGTTTCACTGTATCAGTGTGTCTAGACATCCGATTGCCTCAACCGAAACCCGACTGATGCCAAATCAGTCAGCGATTTTTTTCCCTAAGCTATCGGCTCCCGACAGACAGGAAGGTGAATTTTTACGTATTTATTATTATTATTATTATGTATTACGTGTTTATTTTCGAATAAACACGCCATTGACTCAGAGTGCTCAATTCATAGAAGAGCTTTGTATTATCATCAGTAGCAGTCATTGTCTACACATTCGCGCTTTCCATCTGAAGTGCTCGACCGAAATTTATTTTTTCGTGGGTGTGTATATATATATATATATATATATATATGCGTTTGTGAAAACAAACCAAAGTATTGGCAAAACCAACACAAAACCTGCCAAGTAACAAAAGAAAACAGAAACCAATAAATTCCAAACAGGAAATGAAATATAAATTAAGAAAAAAAATATCAAAGATAGAAACCTTCCTAAACAGTTACAGACAGTGCTTTCTTTGTAACATCAAAGTCGAGT